TTTGTCTCCAGATATGTGTAGAAAAAAGCTCCCTGTATTTCACTGCGAATGTTGGCATTTTTGGCACGAAAAGGCTTTTTAGGGGCTGGTGGGTAAATTACTGCCAAATCACTTTCTATAGTCTACTTTATAAAATATTAATAATTTACATGGGATTGCTATAGACTATCCTGTAGCAGATTTGTGCATGCCTGCTTTTGGTGGGGAGGGAGGCGGATATTTATTTCTAAAATGCGTTCCTGCGGCAGCGACTGTAAACGCAAACCATAAGTCTGATGCGGGTTTAGTTAATGTCTCTTCCGAGCGTTCTGTTTCGGACAATCAAAATACTACTAAAGATTGCTTACTGACTGTGGAATTTTGTCGTTTGGTTTTTGTGATCTTGGACTGTTTTGCCTTGATTGGTTACAGTTCGACACCAAGTCAAATGCGAGGGCTGCAAACGCGAACCAATCATCGGCCTGCGATACAAGTGTACCCGCTGTCCCCGTTACAACCTCTGTCAGGACTGTTTCTGGACGGGCATCACAACCGACGCGCACACAAACAGTCATGATGTCAAGGAGTACACCACCTCCACTGTGAGTCTTTCGTGTTATTTGCCGAAATTTGCAGAGTGCAGAGGGAACAGCTCTATGTACCAGACCGGTAGTACAGTGAAAAATGGGGAACAATCCATTTTGTGCACGAAAGCGCTGTGTCAATTCTGCGGACGGTTTAGCGCAATTTGCTATTTGATCTGTATTTTGACCGATGTTGTGTGCTTGTTATAAATACAGGGTGTCCCAGAAGTAACTGACCCTTTTGGTTTGCTAATAAAACGAAAACTATTAAGGCTAGGATATTGAAACTTGTTTTATTCGAAAGAAAACCCTTTCGGGAATTTGGTGCGATGAAAATCTAAGAAAAATTCAAGAAAGGCCGCTGCATTCTCTTCGTGTGACGGTGGGGTGCGGACTGCTTCCAATGTGATTGGCTTTCTCTTCGTGTGACTGTGTGGTGCGGAATAACTGCTTCCAATGTGATTGGCCCATACTTTTTTGAAAATAATGATGGCGCAACAGTAACAGTTAATGGTAAAAGATACCGAATTATGATAAGCGAATTTCTAATTCCTGAAATTAAGAGACATGGCCTACGCAATACTTGGT